TCTGTCTCAACAAGAACCCGACGAAGCGGCCTACCGCGCGCGAGCTACTCTTTCATCCGCTACTCTTTGAGGTGCACAGTTTGAAACTCCTCGCGGCGCACGCATTAGTTAAAAGTGCTGGTAAGATAAGATACATTTTGATACATTCTGTATAATGGTGACTTCAATTGTTAATTGATGATTTTTTAGCTAACATATCTGAAACAGTGTCAGATGAGTCCTTGCAGAAATTTTATGGTTCTGAAACTGTGATAGCCGAGATCCAATACAAGAATCAGCATCATCCGCCCGTGCAGACGCGCGTTGTGGACGTGCCCGTCAGCGAAAAGCTGGAGAAATTCATCGAGGATGTCAAGTAATTACAGTAGATACAATTTTTGATTGAATTTTGTGTGTTATAATGTTTTATGGATTTTATAGAAATGGAATATATCCACTGACTGCATTTGGTGCTAAACAACCCCCTCCGGCGCGATCGAGGGCGATATCGCCGGAAATGGCAGTGTCGGAGAAATCCGTTACGCCGGAACCGATGGACGTCGAGGCGCGCAAGATCGTCACAATGATCTGCCTGAAAAAGCGCGTCGACGTCAAGACTACGAAGGAGGAGAACGAGGAGACGACGGTAAACACTTTCCACCAACGCAAAGCAAACACACTGGACTAATTAAATGTGTTGTGTGCTCTTTTCAGTTAACTATTGTACTCAGGATGGACGACAAAATGAACAGGGAGCTGACGACAACGCTGTCGACGACCGATACACCGGCGGCGCTTGCGCACGACCTAGTGCATTATGGTTTCATCAATGAAGTAAGTAAACATCTAAATTAAGTTTTATTCGTTTATTTAATATATCTCTTTTTTTTAAGTCCGATCAAGTAAAAGTGTCGACCGCAATCGAAGAGTCCATATTAAACGGCTCGGGTCACAGCAGTCCGACGCATAACTTCTCCTACCTGCCCGCCGGAGCGGCGGCGGCGGCGACGGTGGCCGCTGCTGTCGCCGCACAACAACAGCCGCCGCCGCCGCTGTGTCAATTGTCTTCGACGCCGTCGTCGCTGGTAACGGCCGTCACATCGACGCCTACGCAAGTGCCCATGCACTCCACTAGTTAGTAGATACTGCCACTTATTCCTTTTATAATTATTACTATCCCGTTTTTAAATAACGATAAGTTACGCCACAGACAGTGTCTCGAAACAAACTAATTCGAAGTAGAGGCGGCGCGCATCACGTCCGTTGTTCGCCAACATTCAGGCTCATCTAACATCTTAAAACCTAAACTAGATTTGTATCTATTGTCATCAAGTTCTTCGAATTTAGCAGTCGCATTGCAAGCTATTATGAATGAATAGACTACGAATTTATCGATTTAATCCTAGCGTTTTGTGATGACCTGAGGTTGCGCACCGCGGACATCGAAATGCGATTGCCGCACTAAAATAAGGACGACTTCGTGACGAGAAGGATATCCTCCGACACTCACACACACACTGAGAGCTGGGTACTCTATTCTCTGATAGAAGACTTTTAGGATCGAAGACTGTAATAAAAAATTATTAAAAATGCTGGACATTGATAGAATAGGTGTGCTAGTCATGTGACCATACGTTTATCTGTGATCAGAGCTCCAATGACACTGGACTGTTTTATTAAATTTATCAATAGGTATCATATTATGTATGTGATCTGTAATATCATCGTATAATTTTTTTTCTTTCGAAATCGAGTTGTGGGAATTGATAAGAGAATCTGCAAGATCGAGTCCCGGACAAACGGAGATGGACTGTAAGGAATGTAAATAATAGAGTAAGATTTGCCGCATTTGCAAATACTTATTTTCAAGCTTAAATCATAATCATCAAACATAAAATCAAGCTTTCTAAGGTCAAATGTAAACATTTTTTTTTGCAAATACTTTCTCTATATTCATCAGATTCTTGTTTCTATGCTAGTAATTTATTTGATGATGATAATGATTTAGGATTGAAAATAAATGGTCGTTTTGAGGAAAAAACAGCTTCCGTTTATACTAAGAATTAAACAAACAGAAACACATGGTAGAAAGTTGATAATTGAAAATTATAAAAAAATACTCGTGTTGCAAACGTATTATGATTTGCCCCTTTGAGACTGATGTAATTTTTAATTAATCTAAGCGTTAGATAAAATGAGAAATGAATTAGCTAAAGAAAAAAAAACGACTAAAGTCTAAACTAAAACAAAAAATTGTAATACTAGGCATACAGAACAATAGTTTCGAGTGCGAGTGGCGGCGATCAGCGCGAATTTTCTTTTGTAGTCCACGACCAAAATTGCGAATTTGCGAACTAGATTTGTGGCTTGTGTTGCTTGGTTTTATCGATGATTTTTTGCGGTGGCTTTCGGAGGAGAGTGGAATGTGGAACATCTGTTGGCTGTTGGCTGCGAGGTACCCTCTAACGTTGGCAAAACAGGGAATTTATTAATCGTCTTTATCAGTAATAATTAGTCAAAACGACAACCGAATCAGTCCTATCAATTTAAAAACAACTTAATCTTAAAATTCATGCTAGACACAATTAAAATTTGATATTGTATTTAATTAGGCCTAAGTCTATTTGTTCGGAAGTTGTTTTAAAAAATCTATTAAATTATTTGTTATATGAAAGAAATTGTGAATATGAGCGGATCACAAGCAGTTGTTGGCGATACGATGAGACGATTACAGAGTGTCGAAGATGTAGTTATTGATAAGAGAATGCGCTGGTATGCAATATTGTACATATTGATAGGAATCGTACACGTAAGACACGCAAGAGTGAAACTAATTTTTACTGAATGAATTACATCACATGCGGTCAGCGCGTAATCAAAGACACGTGCACAACGCATCAATACTTAATGAATAAAGAGCTATTATTATTTCTATTTGCTAAATGTGAATTGTAATGTTTGATTTGCGAAAGTGTTATGTATGCGAGGATTATTTTACGCTTGTGCATGTGTCTGCGAATTCATTTTGTACGAAGTCGTAGGCGGAAGCGTTGTGACATATAGACAAGGACTGTTGGAATTGGGATTGTTAGAGGACCTCCCGTGTGATATTACGCTCAAAAACAAAACAAAAACAGAATGAAAATGGCATGCAAAAAGTCGGGTCGCTTCAGTTTGTTCATGTATATTATATATAGTCAATAACATATAAGTGCGTTCATTCAGAATCGATTTACCTTCTTTTGTTTTAATTTAATCGTGTTATGTTCCATTGTAATCCCAATAATTAAAAGGCATATATTTAATGCAGCAGACGGAGCAAATGCGAGGCATTAACACTTTGCGACGATGCAACACAAAGAGGCCAGGCGCGACATCGAACTGCGTTTCGTTCAGAGTTGTTATTTAGTCTATTTTTATTACGAAAAAAACACGAAAAAACTAAACAAAAACACGTACGAATAGAATCTATCTTTATCCCCGTTTTTATTGCAGCAAGCTTTATATCTTTAATCGAACTACACTGTGCCCATTACTAAGTAAAAGTTAGAGTTACAATGTATTTATAAAACTCGAAGCGAGATTGTGAAGTCGAAGTCTTTTAACAAATGCATCTGCAAATACAAACACATGATCTTCCTCAACTTTTGGAACAACTGACAACAAATATTTGCTTTGATTTGTTATCTCGAACACGGATGTATAAGAAGCAGGAGATTAAAATGTATATTTAAGTTGTGTTTAACTTTTTCCCGAATTGTAACTATTGTTTTGCTTCTCTGGGTTTTCTTGTTTTGATTGGTTGTTCCATGTAACTAAAGAAATACAACATCAGACAACATAGACTCCCTCACATTGAGCGGTACAGTTGACGAATTTACAAACTTTCAGCAAATATTTTCGTTCCGAGAAATAATTGACACAATCAATTCTGTAATGAAATGCTATGAGACTTGCATTTATGCTTCTGCCAAAATACGAAATGTTGCTGTCGTTTTTCTTTGTGGAAATATCGGAAATTAATACACACATATTGTAACCATTTATGCAAGATGGCGAACGGAGGTGATTATTTTGTATCTTTTGGATGAACTGTAAAATTTTGTATACTCATTCTGGCGCTATGTTTTGATTGGAATCATTTAGACGAATCCATCTAGCTAACTAACTGATTGAAACAAGATAAAAGCGGTGAAATTCTATGCGAACGGCTAGTGATATTTATTTCCGATATTATCGTTTTATTTAAAGAAAGAAACATAGATAAGTTGCGTCGATATGATTGTATTATATATTATAGTATCATATAAACAACAGGCTGTTTTACTGTATACCTTTATTTAAGTAAATATGCAATATGGCCAATTTATGTTTCAAATTTTATAATTTGACGGACTAGAAATTTTTCACCGTCATTTATCGGAAGAATGTATGTATCTTCTGCCACGACGTTAATAGGTAAGTGCAATATTGTGATTTCAGTTCGTTGCGTTTATTAGATTACATGTGTGTGTGTGTCAGTTCGGCACTCGCGATGCTCCAATGTTTACTTAAATATAAGTCGATAATATGATCCGAGATGTCTCTAGCATGTATATATTGCATAAAATTCGATTCGCATTTATCGCCGCGAGTTGTGTTTTGGTGCAGTAAGTGCACACTTCTTGAAGTGGACACACGCGTTACCTTCTCAGACCACGCGCTCTTATCAGCTTTTTTGTTTGTTTACATCCGTGAATTTGCATTCCTTGTTTACTTGCGCGCACCATTAGAATTAAGTCAGTTAGGTTCGAGAAGTTGTGTGATTGTGCTTCTGTATATCGCGATATGTTTAATTAAAAATCAAATTATATTTAATAATACAAAATGTTTTAATTTATGAAGAACCTTTCCATCGGCTTTGGATATCTGTGCAACACCAAAACACCAGCAAGCCACTTCGTAAGTAAATAATATTAATATTTTTAACTTGATTTTCTTTCAATTTTATTTCCATGAGAGGAATTAAATTTGCTAAAGAGGCGTTGGTCGTGAAATGTGCATGAAACAAATGTCTTATTTTGTACGTGGTTCGGGGCTCTAAGTAGTATTGTAAAATTTCCGAACTCTAGATTATTCTAGACACAATTTTAATTTTTCATTTTTTTCATGTTATCTATATGTTAGGATCGCGCGAGCATTGTTCTGAACGATGCACATTTTCCGCCCCTTGAAATCGCGAGGAAACCTGAAAATTGCTTTCAAAATCTAGCAATTTATCGATTTTCTTAAAAAAAATGACGTGGTAACTGGGTTATATCGTGGGAACTATTACTGGTTCACATTACAGGTTACATTAGTGGTTTTAAACGATACACATTTGCTGCCCCTCAAAATCCCACGGGAACTGCCTGAAAATTGATCTTTAAAGCTGGTAATTTTTTATTTTTCTGAAAACACGTGGAAATTGGGTGATCTCTCAGCAACCGTTAGCGAGCGTAAAACGACGAAATTGTTTGGGAACTCCCTGAAAATTTCTCCCTAAATCAGGTAAATTTTCATTTGTCTAAACACGTCGTGGATTGGGTTTCATCTCAGAAACTGATTTTCACCTGATTTTTACATGATTTTCATATTACATGTTCTGATCGCGCGAGAAGCTCTTTAATCAATACATCTCTGCCGGCCCCAGAAATTCCTGGACAACTGCTTCAAAATTGCTATCTCCTTTATGTAAATTTGCGGGAAGTAATCAGAAATACTACTCGAAATTTGATTACATTTTTGAATGCGCTCACAGACATTTTTATTATGTAAAATATGTTACATTTTCAGTTTACACAAACGCTGTTTGCCGATCTTATGGCCATACCTATAATTTAGGAGTTTCTAATACGGTAACTATAATTTTCTTCTTGGTTTAATTTTATCAAAATTTGTATTTAATAATATCGTCTAATAACAATGTATTCTTACATTGATTTACTTACTTTTACTTGTAGTGCTTATCGAAATGTGTATATAAACAACTTTATTATCGCGTTTAGAAAACGTCATGTTGCGTTCTCGCTACGAACGGTTGTCCCGGATGTCTCAGTCGTGCATCAGTTTAATCGTGCGCTCGCGCGGTGCGCCACGGTTTTGCAATTATCTCACGGGAAAGCCATAAAAATTGCATTTTTGTGTTTCGCGGCACTGATTTCTGTTTGTTTTAGGGCTGTAGAAATTGAAAGGGAACTCGCAGCAGGGTCATTTTTGCATCAAGGTGTAAGTATTATAATTCTGTATCATCTCTATGACCTAGTTTTGCAATTTTCTTACGGGAAAGCCATAAAAATTGCAGTTTTGTGTTTCGAGGCACTGATATCTGTTTGTTTTAGGGCTGGTGAAATTAAACGGGAACTAAAAAGAAGGTCATTTTTGCATCAAATTGTAAGTATTGCCATTCTGTATTATCTCTATGACTTAGTTTTGCAATTTTCTCACGGGAACACCATTAAAACTGCATTTTTGTGTTTCGAGACACTAATTTTTCTTGTTTTAGGGCTATAGGCATTGACCGGGAACTCGCATCAAACTGTAAGTATTGCCATTCTGTATCATCTCTATGACTTAGTTTTGCAATTTTCTCACGGGAGAGCCATAAAAGCTGCATTTTTTTGTTTCGAGACACTAATTTTTGCTGGTTTTAGGACTTTTGAACCGAGTCTGACACTGTCGACGGACCATTCTTGCATCAGATTGTAAGTATTTAATTTCTTTATCATTTTCCTAAATAACTTTTGTGATTATCTCACAAATTGATCCCCAAAATTGCATTTTTATGTTCGAAGGACTAATTTTTGCCGGTTTTAGGGATTTTGCCCTTGAGTCTGACATCGTAGAAGGACCATTCTTGCATCGGATTGTAAGTATTTAATTTCTTTATCATTTTCATATATAGCTTTTATGAATAACCTATTAAATTGCGAGAAAATATACTTTTGTGTTTCGAAGCACTGATTTTGCTGGTTTTCGAGGTTTAGCACATGAACGTGTCATCTGCGTAATATCAGCGAGGTCCATAAAGATGTAAAATTTAATTCTTGATGATGTTACATTCTAATGTCGTAGGAGATGTACGTGTAGAACGTGTGTTGTTAGATAAATTGTACGTTTCGTACGTTGTTATGTCGATAATTTGTACCTGTTTGTTTACAACATGTTTACATTAAATGTAAACTTTTTTTAATTTTAGTCATTTTGAATAGTTTTTGGGGTATATATAATATGGATTGTGTTTTATTAATTTTCGTTCAAGTGAGTGAAATTGAAATACCAAGATGAGGTGATAGCAGGTGAGTTAGAATAAGAGAGCAATATCAAAGTTTCATGTTCAATCCATGTTCTTTGTATGATCTGCAGGATATTCCACACTTTGTTTATACGTGCGGTTCGACGTTGGCTTGCGCTGCACGCTGTGCGCTGCAATTTGAAATTTGAACAGTACCCCACCGGTCGCCGTGTGTCGGCGTGTGCTGTTTTTCCTGTTCAATCAGTCGGTGATACGCAATTGTGCTATGTGCACGTGTTCCATTTCTTCTCCGCTACTGTTCGTTGCGACTGTTAGTATTTCGGACTCGAAACTTAAGACACCACGTGTGCGTGTGTAAGCCATCAGTCGCCGGTCTTCGGATCTCTTGCGTTGGGCTACGGATTCCAATTGGATTTATAGGCCAATATGGTATTGTTAATTAGAAGGGATAAATCACGCGTTTTCTCAGCGTGGCATAGTTGTTAGTGCAAAAGTTATGCAGTGAGTAGTAACATCAATTCTACTAACAATTCTGCTTTGTGTGTAACATTTCATAAGAGAGCGTTGTGGCTCGATGGTATGTAGGATATGCCTTGGACCGTACGAACGTTCGTTTTATTAAAAAGAAAGAAGAATGTATTGTTAAATATAGTTAATAAAACTCAATTTACAATTAAAATCTCATTCATATTTTTCTGTGATATCATATTTGTCGTTTTCAGGATATGCGTCTTAAATCATATTTCATATAAAGCTTATGTGAGTGCAACAAAGGTAAGAATTGTGTTGTTGTTTTTAAAAAGTTGAATAAAGTTGAAACATTAATAGAAGAATCAAATATAAGTGATAAAAACACTCGGTGGACGAGTGGATACGTGCACCTGCTGGCATGCTGTTGTACACGGATCGAGTCTCAGGTATAGGAGGCATTTTTCTCAAATATAAAAATATCAGGTGCAATTTGGGTTGCATATATGAATGGCAACGAAATATAAGAGAAATTGAAATATAAGTGAAGGCAATAGAAATAAGAAAGCAGGTGGAGAAACAGAGAAATAGAAGAAATAGTAGAAGAGAAATAGGAGTAGGTAGATGGAAGAGAACAGAGAGTGGAGTAGAGTAGTAAAGAAGAGGAGGAGATAGAAGAAAGAGAATAGGAGTGGATCAGATTTTTATATTTTTTGGCCCGTGTCGTTAGACAGTCTAACTGCTTCGATGCGTCCATTGCTCCCGGCCCATCCTACAGCTGCGATGTCTCTGCGCTTCATCCCCGAAATACTCAGGCATATCAACAATTTTTATGGTGGGGGATCACCCCCAGAGAGAGGGAACTCCTTATAAGGACGATCCTTATAAGGTCTTGTTCAAATATTTCTAAGTTTAAAGTCGTCTCAAGAGAGACGACACTTAAAAATACTCTTACAAGTTCTGACCGGTACCTGAAATGAAGGAAGGAGTACACAAATCATACAGGTTGCCTTAACAATATTTATAGTGGGGATCATCCCCCTGAGAGAGAGAACTCTTCCTGAAATGATAGAAGGGGTACACACAAATAAAAGAAGTCAATATATCTTACTATTTATTTATTAACAATAATAGAATACAAGTCTATATTTTACATGTCAACAGAATACATGACACCATATTGAAACAGGACTTATGATCTGCATATCCGCGCTCATGGAAACAAGTACCACTTAGTAAAGTTCTACCGGGATAAATAAATTAGCAAATAACCTATTTTCTACGGGGTTGCAAATGGAAATAAATATACAGGGTATTACAAAAGAAAAATTTTAAGTGCCGACAGGAAAACATCTAAACACTCAAATATCGCTTTTTTTTCACCGTTACTCTTTGAAACAAATATACAGGGCGTTACAAAAAGAAAATTCAAAGTGCAAGAAGTTAAATTTTAAAAACAGTCGAAGCAAAATTTTCGGGGATGTGAAGGAAAACGATTATACAAGGTGTCACAAATAGAAAATTCAACCATCACAGAGGAAAACATCTAAACACTACAAATATTGCTCGTTTTCACCCGATGCACCGGGAAACTAATAAACAGGGTGTTTACGGACACAAAGAAAAGCAAATATGTGTTTCAAAAGGAAAATCCTAAGTTTAAAACAAACAACACTCAAAACTCACAAATAAAGGCGATTTACTAGGCACTGTTAGGAAAACTAATATACAGGGTGTTACAAAAGGAAAATTTTAAAAACTACAAATATGGTAAATATTCACATCATGGCGAGAGAAATTTATACGGAAACAACTATATTTTAACATAAATTCAAATATTTTACCCGGAAATCATCGGAAAAGTGAAGTATAAAATGTGCTACAAGAATAAAACACTTACATTTTAATAAATTGTGTATATATTTATCATTTGATGATAGCATCAACTGCATAAGGTAACAGACGGGTGAAGTATCATCATAAATTGATAGAACATCCGGCGGAAAACATCCAAATCAGCGACGGCGCGTGGTAAACAGTAGATTAATACGATAAAAATAACTAGTTACTTGTAAATATTAAGATACTAGCTGACCCGGCAAACTTTGTTCCGCCTCGCTTTGCTCTTGTCATTGAGAAGCACGACGACGAGTCATACTAACACGGCGTTTTTCACGTGCAATTTTTTATTCTTCTTCAGTCCTTTCAATCGCAATCCTTCGAATCCTAGTTGCATTACGGTTTTGTCGGATAAGATTTGATCGTTTTGGTCGCTGCATGTTAAGTGGCGAAGCTACGAAGCATCGCACAAAGAAGAGACGGAGAAAACTCGTTTAGTATCGTCCAAAGAAGTTTTCACTTCAAAAAGTATTAAAAAAAGTATCCTACACTTACTAAATCTTATCCAAACAAACACATCAACCGGGCAACTTTAACCAACTCGTACAAACACACACACACGTCAATGCTTAGGGGGAAGCTATGAAGCATCGCATAAAGAGGAGACGGAGATAATAGAAAACATTATATTTGTGTGCTCATTTTCTCCCGTAGGCAAAACCATATAAGCGAATATGTTTGTTTCCATTTAGTGTCGTTTAGTATTCTCTAAAGGTGTTTTCACTTCAAAAAGTATCCTAGTAACCTTCTCCAAACAAAAACAACAACCGGTCGACTTCAAGCCACACGTACACACATACACACGTCTATGCTTAGGGGGGAAGCTACGAAGCATCGCACAAAGAGGAGACGGGGATAATAGAAAACTTTGTATTTGCGTTCTCTTATTCTCCCGCAAGATAATCCATATACGCAAATATGTTTGTCTCTTTTTAGTGTCGTTTAGTGCCCTTTTAGAAAAGTTTTCATTTCAAAAAGTATCCCATTACCTTCTCCTGGCCCTAAGCTACCTCTCCACCAATTTTTAGCTAAATTGGATTAGCCGCTCTTTAGTTATAATGGAGTTAACCAACACGACTTTCTTTTATATATATATATAGATATGGAGACTATGATAGCGAGAAACTATTCAATGTATAAGATTTTATTACATCAACAAAAACTGTTTAATATAATGATAAAAAGAGTGTAATTCGATTAAAAACGTTCAGCGAAAAGAGAATACAATGGATGATTTTACTTACCAGTGTAGCGAACACCACATATCAAATGTGAGTTGATACTGCAATAAAGAAGAAACAAAACATTAGTTTACCAAAAATTTTGTTTTGTTCTCTATAATTATTTAAATTAGTATTCGTACCAGGTATCACATTGAACCAACGAGTTGTGCAGAAGTCAAAAATGGTTCGCAGTCCAAAATATTATATAATTAAATAAAATATAACGCGATATACCAAATTTACAACGATAAACACGAATACTCGAAGGAGTATTCTTATCTGCCGCACGAAATAAGAGCTGCGTGCCGGCATCACAACTGTGCAAGTGGACTTCCACTCGCAAGAATATTTTTAGTTAAAATTTGCATCGCTGCGCCGTCTGAGTATACTTTATTGTACCTCCAGAAAATACAATTGCCTATGATCAGTGAGTGGTCACGCACTTAAGTGGCCGTGCCGTGTATCACACGTACACGAGAGTGTGCATGCACCACCCTATCTAAACAAACACCAATTTTACACATAACTCAAAACTTCAAATATAGAAGTCGATGGGATATACTTATTCAAAATAAATGAATCTAAATATAATATTATTATAACTATTATTATATTATTAATAATTGATAATTTTTATCAACGATTTTCGACAGTGAATATCTTCCAAACTAAAAGAGATAACATTCAGAAAATTGTAGATTATGGGATATTTGAAAATTCTCTATCAGACGGAAATTTAAAATAACCTAATTTAATGAGGTAAAAGTTTAAAAACGCGACTGAAAGTGCTTAAAATTGTAATTTTTCAATTTTTGACGATTTATTTTATTTGCGATTATCTCGTAAACTAAAAGAGATAAAAGGAACATATTTCAAATTTTTAATCTGCGGAAAATTTTCTATAAGATGAGTTAATTAAAATGCATATATAAAAGTCACTTCTACCGCTGCCCTTGTACGGTGCCTTGAACACGAGTCACTTTTACCGCTGCTTTTGTACGGTGCCCTGAACACGAGTCGCTTTTACCGCTACCCTCATACGGTGCCCTGAACACGAGTCACTTCTACCGCTACCTTTTGCTACGCATGTTACGGAATTTTCTCGCCATAAATTTCAATACAGGAAGATACAGAATTAAATTCTGCATCTGGAAAAATTATTACGAACTTATTGTGATACCGCGATCGCGTGTTATATCAAAAAAACTACAATTCCTAACGCATCGATTACTAGTGCGTATACACACAACTTTCAATATAACTCGCGTTAAGGAATTTTCTTGCAATAAATTTTAATACCGAGAAACTACAATTCCTAGCGCAACAAACACTATGGTGCACACACACTACTTTCAATATAACTCGCGTTACGGAATTTTCTCGCTATAAATTTAGATACAGAAAGATACAAAATTATATTCTGCATCTAGAAAAATGATTCCGAACTTACTGTGACACCGCGTTCGCGTGTTATATCAAAAACTACAATTCCTAGCGTAACGAGTACTAGTGCGTATTCACAGAACTTTCAATATAACTCGCGTTAAGGAAGTTTCTTGCAATAAATTTTAATACCGAGAGATACAGAATTAAATTCTGCATCTGTGGAAATAATTACAAACTGATTGTGATTTCGCGTTCGCGTGTTATGCGAAAAAACTACAATTCCTAGCGCAACGAGTACTACGGTGCACACACACAATTTTCAATATGACTCGCGTTACGGAACTTTGCCGCAATAAATTTCGACACAGGGAGATACAGAATTAAATTTTGCATCTGGAAAAATTATTCCGAACTTATTGTGATACCGCGTTCGCGTGTTATATCAAAAAAACTACAATTTCTAGCGCAACGAGTACTAGTGCGTATACACACAACTTTCAATATAACTCGCGTTACGGAACTTTCCTGCAATAAATTTTAATACAGAGAGATACAGAATTAAATTCTACATCTGAGGAAATTACTACGAACTTGTTGTGACTCTGCGTTCGCGTGTTATGCTAAAAAAAACTACAATTCCT